CTCCCCTGGCTGAGAGAGCAATCTTCCGTACTCCCGCGAGGCGCAGAGGATCTTAATCTTTTGTTTTATTTAATTTTGTTCCTTTCCCTTCTCTTTTACTAATCCACACACACACACACACACATACAGCTTTGAGCTAATGTAGCTACTGCTAAACGGCTACCGGCACTAGACGCCGGGTCTGCTGTTGGCTATCCGCCATTTTGAGTCTCGCGCATGAGAGACGTCACCACGTCCCAACTACGTCATATGTCGCTGAGCTGTTCCCTCGCTCCTCCTCCTTACACACACACACACACACACACACACACACACACACACTCCCCCCCTTTTCAATCGTCTGTTGATTTTAGATAGCGTGCTCATAAATGTATAGTTGTTGTTAGTTTAGATATTAGTTGACTAGATCATTAGTATTAGAACGTAATAAACTCTGTTATATTTTAAAGAGCAGCTGTCTGTGATTACTTTGTGCATGTATTGTGATAATAGCTGTATATGTGGTCTGCTCGAACTTAAACCTTCACTTTCACTCTGAATGTGTAATAGTACTCAGACTGTTGACATTGTGAGTGAACACTAATTATGAGACTTAGTTTATCGTTTGGTTATTGGTCCCTGTTCGCAGGGTGGTGTCCCGTTATTATTAATAATCATTAATAATTGTTACTGACATTAATAATGATGTTAGGCTGTTCTCTCTCGTGAACTGTCTACGCAGGGTAAATAATTGGCTTAATTGAGTGAGGCTATATTGCCATATCAACTGGATTAGCTGCGCTCGCGGACTATGGTCGCAGCCCTCGAATAATAATCATTATTAATGCTCCTTAAATTATCAGAAATTGGTCACCGGTTCAGATTAGAGCTATGAAGGGTAGGGCCAGATCCTTCATAGTTTCTGTCCAAGCCTGACACGAGCCTGAACCACAGCAGCAGTTTTAGGCAGAGCCCGGTTAGAAACACATTTTTTAATGGTATTAAAAGTTTTAGTCAACTAAAGTATTTTCTTTGCAGTAACAGACATGTGCCAGCCCAAAAACTGACATATACTGTACATATCACAGACTAAGTCTGCTTTAAAAAACACCGTAAATTGCCATGTCTTGTCGCGCCCAATTGGTTTGGGGCAGAGAATCAAAGAAAATATGTCTACTAGTACCACTAGTTTGTAACAACAAATGTGCTTTAAAGTACATATAATGCCACCGGAATTACATTTATCAACATAATGATGACACTTTGTTAATTGGTATACAGTATCTCACACAGTATCCAATCACTTTCATTCTTTTTAATAATTATAAATAAGTGAAACTTAGTCACCTGTTGGCTGAGAAGCTTCAAATACAACAGCTTTTAGTGGTAGCTACTAAATTGATTAACATTAACATTAAGCTAGCCTAATTCATATCACTACCTGTACAATCAACCTGGAAATAAAAGTGATGACTAGTACTATAAAGAAGAAGCCTGCTAATTTGACCAGATCTTAACCAATGCAGGTATTTTGTTGACCGGATCCAAAATGGAATCCGTTATCGGAACCCAACCCTAATCTTAATACCAAAATGATTGACCATAGCAGGAAAATGTTCAGTGACAACAGATTTCAATTGTTTTTCAACAATATATCCTTGTAGTAACTGTGACGGTTCACAGTTTACCGTGTGGGTTTAGGAGTGGAGCAGAGACTCAGGTGCAGACTTAGACACAAGGTGAGGTGAAATGCAATGTTCTTTACTGGGCATTTAAGCAGTCAAAAACTGAAACCAAAAACAACTCCAACCGGGAGCATGAAAAATCCAAACTGAAAATAAAAAGCAAAGTCACAAAAGGGGCTTGGTCACAAAAGGCAAAGACACAAACCGTGGGAGTCAGAGGGTCAACACAAGGGGTAACCACTGGAGATGAGACAAGTCCACGGGGAGGAAAAAAGAACAAATGATAATCCGGCACTGGAACAGGGCAAGCAGGGGAGTATAAGTATGTGAGGGGTAATGAGCGGATTGCCGGCAGGTGAATGGAGATGAGTGGGGTTTGCAGAGGGAAAATGTGCAGGAACAAGGTTGAGGGGGGAGGAGGTAACACAGCGCAGACAGCACATGCTCCCTGAGTTAATGTCAGGTTGAAAGGCGGCCTCACTCTATTATATTTAGCTACAGCTCCAAATCGATATATTGCAGGAGGAAATGAGAAAGTCTTCTGTCAATGATGACCTTTCCTCCGGATTTATCATGTACCGTGAGTCTGGAAAGGGAGGTCTGGTACAAAATGTTGATTTGACAAGGGTGGAGGGAAAAAACATTTTGTTTCAGGCTGCGGTATTTCATTTGAACCTTTTTTTTGTCAAGTTATGGGAAGAAAGATTACGTGTACAGGTGTTTTTGTCTGTAACACAAAATGTGTTTTCCATTCGACAACTGATGGATAAATGTGCAGTTTCCGCATGGCCGGGAGCCACAGACATCTTCACTTACTGAACCACTTGGATTTAGTTTGAACACACCCTAATGGAAAGTTTTTGGCTACGATGCCTTTATTTACACGTGCTATGAGAAAACTGGCAAAGTAAAGTTAAACTGTTTAGAATGTTGGCAACACTGCTCCATATTTTGTAAGAAAATGTTCAGCTAAAAAGGCAGGGCTTTCTTTGTGTCTATCCTGCAGATTGTTGATCTATAAACATGTCTAATAATAATATGCACATTTTTCTTTTTGTCAACTAAAACGTAATATTTTACTTTATTGTTTTAGTCAGGGTTTTTCCCATCAAGTAAAATACGTTCACTATCACTAAACACTATCTACCACTATTTCTTTAGTTTTGGGGCAGAATTGATTCATTGATCTTACCATGTTTATATTTTGGGTCCTCAAGGCTTTCTGACATATCAACATGCATGCAACCGAGCCATCATGAACTAGCCCCCAATCGTGGAATGGTTTCGTCATGTGAATATTCAGAGCCGGCCTGAGGGTCCTGCAGCCGTCAGGGATTTGGGTTATTTTTTCACTGTTTGCCTTATTATTTTCTTTCATTGAATGTGTGCAATGATCGTTTTTCTGCACATTCACTCCACAAAGTGTTGAAGAGTAAAACATGCATGTGGTCATCTTTAAGCAAGTCTACATACTCAAAATGAGTATGTAGACTTGTTCCATCAGCGCTTTTTTGTATTGTCAGGAATGATTAGTCGTCATTGTTAATTTACTTATGAAAGGTCTTAGATATCACCTAACATACAGGTTCTTTAGTTCCATATGTACAGTATGTACTAAGGTCTGTATATGTGTTGTTTAAAACCTTTGTTTTGTTACTTTTTTGGTGTAAATTTAAATAGATCAAGTGATACATTTTCCAGACAGTCACACGGTACGAAGTGGCCCACTTTGACACCGGTGACCGCTGTTCACTTCTTTTTTTTCTCTGCTTATCCTAACCATGGCCGTGTTCTTTTTTGTCATATCAATTGGACCATTTATTAGAAAGAGATTGTTGGCATGACAAAAATCTGATCTGCAGAAAATAATTGCAACTCTCTCTCTCTTCCTTTATGTCCGTGTCTGTCACACACATAATCCCCAGATCGTGATCTCTGATCGCAGTATTTGATCGGAGTTGTGTAGATGAACTTTTTCATCCGCTCTCTTCACAGCATGAGCCGGGTTCTTTGTAGGAATGTAAACAAGCTATTTATTTATATGTTTTAACCTTCATATGTTTTTACAGTTTTTTTTCCTATCTTCAAAACAACACCATCTGTATCCTCCATTATATCTCTGTTTCCATCTCCCTTCTGCTCTGCGCCATAACATGCATGTATTAACTAATTTGCACATGTGACTGTGAACATTAATGATTCTGAACGAGCAAGAGATTCTCAAAGACACAAACTGATCCGTCCACTTCTACGCAAAACTCTCAGGGCGCTAGTAAGAGAGAGAGAGAGAGAGAGGGAGAGGGAGGGAGTTGCAAGAGATCAAGAAGGACGCTGCCACAGGAGGGATGAATAGAGATGTAAATAAATGTATGCAGATTCACTGAGACACAGCAGGTTATAAAGAAAACAAGAGACAGAGAGAGAGGGAGTGTTGTGGGAGAAAGGGAGAAAAACAAGGCGAGGCATTGAAAAGGAGTGGAGGCTGCAGGGAAGGAGGAGGTGGAGAATTAGGAAAAAGTCATGAAAGAAGGATGATGAGGGAGGTTGAGATGTGACAGGGTAGTGAAGTATATTAATGTGACAGCTGTGTCAGAAAAATATTTCAATATTGTTTTTGCACTTCCAGCTAAATCACATCAGGATCTTATGCTTTTGTTTTGCAAATGTGTACCATCAAAATTAATGTTTTCGAGCGAGCTGTAATTTGAAACTAATTTCCTATGAAAGCAAGAAATTATCTCAAAAACAAGCTCCCTTCTTGTTGGCCAAACAAGATAGTCCTATTAGGGTTATGATTTCTTAAAATTGTGTGATTATAGCTTTTATTTATCAAAATGCTTAAGATAAGGTAAGTGGATTCTTTAAACTTAGAATGGAGCCAGGCTAACGGTTTCCTTCTGACTAGAGTCTTTATGCTAAGCTAAGCCTATTGGCTGCATGTTCTGACTTCATAAATTGCTAAAATACATTAAATTGGTGTGTATAATCTTATCTAACTCTCAGGAAGAAAGCACATTTTAGCTCCCTAAATGACAAACTACCATTATCTGATCCAACATTTTTATAAAAACCTTCTATCAGATATTAGTCGATAGATATTAGGTTGATCAGTGACAAGTTGATTAGTTTATCATCGTGTTTTAACGTCCATGAGGCATCAGTCATTCTTAGCTCTTCTCTTAACCGGCACACACAGTCGAATTAATAGTCCGAAGCGTCCTTTTCGACATCTAAAGCACTCTCCTGCTCATTTACAACATGGAGAAAAAATCCACCAAGAATTCACTGTACAATATCCACATTTCTCTGTCCCCCCCTCCCCCCTTCTCTCAACAGTGTCTCAGTGTGTGTCAGCACTGGGGTGTGGACCCCACTATGAATTCGCCATTGAGGAGTTCTGCCTGGCCAAATTCAGACTGGACATGCAAGAGCTGGACCAGAAACACTGGTGTAGCTGGGAGGATACAGTCGAGTGAGTAGAATCAACATACACACACACAGAGAGAGAGAGACGTCCAAACACAAATGCAAACAGATTAACTTTCCACACAAATGCAAACAGAATTATGAGCTTTCCATTTTAAATTTGCACAAGGCATTGAATCAGCAGTTTCATTCTATTTGTTAGTTGTAATGCAGTAAGAGCATTAAAACGCCTCAATGCGATTGTGGCGCGTTACCCATTAAGCCTATGGCACAATGATCTTCACACATCTCAAATATTAGATTTATTCATTGTCTCTGATCCACTCTAAGTCAACGGAATGTAAGTTAACTCCACACTAAGACGCGTTGTTTTCAACAACAAAAAGGAGTGTGTTCATTCCTGGCTGAGGATCTATAAAATCGTCCAACGTTTTGGTCACCTTCCAACAGCTGATTAGATACTGGGTGAGAGACAACAGAGAAAAAGAGTGGGTGAACATAGTCAGTGCGGGGAACAAAAGCTGTAAGCCTGTGGCATGAACAGGGATCTTTCGTCCATGTACAAATATTATCTTTGCACTTACTGTAAGAGACGTCTGGCGCCACAGGTTTTCACAGTTGCTCTCAGGATTTGAGTGCCAGTTATTGGAATCATTTGGTCCAATTAAACAATTACGTGCCATCCACTTGACTGTCAATTTAAAATTGTGTGTCACACTGTTTTGTATTCAAACAATAAAACCCCTATCCTGAATTACCTGGGTGTAATATCATGCTGACCCTGAGGTCCCCCTGTAAACTCATAGCTCCCCCCCACCAGTGGCGGCTGGCCAATAGAAAGCCATGGGGCGTGGTCCCACCTTGAGCGCCCCTCCTTGAGACAAAAAATAAAAAAATTATAATAAATTTGACAAATTCTCAATATTTGTGTTTTTGAAATATGGAATGTACCCAGTAATATTTGTAAATTATGATATCTGCGCAAAATATATGCTTTTCCTGCACGTCCTCGCCACCTCTCTGCACGTCCTCTCCGCCTGTCTGCATGTCTCAGCAGCGCTGGGGCCATCGAGAAATGGCCCACGAGAGGCGGGTCTATGAAGCAGTTTAGCCAATTGCTGATTAAAGACATAAATGAGTGACATACAATTTAGCCAATCAGCGTCCTCAAATAGATTCAGCTCGGGGCCAAATTAGAATTTGGCCCCAAGCTGCGCGTTCTCGTCAGGAGAAGTCTCTACAGGCGAGCGCCACCGCTAGCACTACTCCTCCAAGACCCGTTTGAGAGGAGAACTTTGGCGGAGATTCTGCAGGCCAAAGAGCTGATCCCAGATCAGCCTGACCTCACAATCAGACAGCAGACTAGCAGGAAAGGGAAGCAGTACATGCAAAGCTTCTCTAGTACACTAGAAAGGTTAGGCTAGCTGGATGCAGTCATGCTAATAACTTAGTTAGCTTTTTGAAACAACGGGGACAGATCCATCACGGACAGTTACGGGAGTGAGGGATATGAAGCACCTGTCTGAGGAAATAAGGAAACACGAGAACACCAGGGCACACATGGAGAACTCTGTCAAGCTACATATTAGGCAAAGTGAACATCTTTTCTTGTACATAGTTGTCCTCAGTCTCATCTGCTTAACTTGGTCATGGAGGCATCATTTAATTGAGATGTAAATTAACAGTGAAAACTCATCATAGCTTAATTTAACATCAGTATTCCTCATTCTTCAATCTCATCTCAATAAATAAACATATTATATTATATTTTATATATATATATATATATATATATATATATATATATATATACACACATATTGTATATATATATATGTATGTGTGTTTTATATTATACTGAAAATTATTATATGATATATATATATATATATATATACTGTATATATTATACTGAATTCCCTGTGAGGGTGACAAAAATATGATCTCCTGACGTGTTTATCAAAGTGTTATTTACTGCTTTTTTTCGTGTTGGAATAAATGCTAAATATTTAACTGCAAAGTAGTAATGCGTGTTTGATACCTTAATTGTTTGCATTAAATCATACTGGGATGTTTGCTGAAATTGATTGGATGGCCCTACCTAGAAAATTTTCCACCAGCTGCCACTGCCCCCCACTATAGGCAACCTTGGAAGGGGAACCCAATTAAGGAAGTTTCCAATAGGCCTGACAGTAGACCTAGTCTCATGCGCAGCATTGTTTCTGTTTGCATGAGAACTGTTGCTTGTGAAGTCCTTTCATACGTCCTCGGGCCAGAGCCAATTATGTCATAGTAGGTTTGGAAAAATAGAAAACAAGCTGCAAGGTTAATTTAGGTAAAGGAGCAGTGTTTCTTGATCCCCGTTGATCTGGTCATCATTCCGCCAAAACTTTGCACTAATTAATCTTAATTTAGATAGTCTATCATTACTAAATCTTAGTATTGAATCTTACCTGACACACTGCACCCTTTGCGTTTCGATAATTAATGAATTAGGAATGCCAAAAGGCTGTATTTTTGTCATTCAGCGTGTGCATCTTCCATCCATGTCGAAATGTCATATACGCTCAAGTGACAGGTACGGATAAGTGGCTTATTATTAAACATAATCTCTTAAAAAATACAATTCTGATATATTACAACGTGTGTGTTATTTTCGTGATTTTGACCATCATATCTGTTGGCTTTAATGACGTACTCACCAAACTAAATTGATTGTTGTGATCTCGCATGTCAACAATATCACGACAGCAAAGTCGGTCACAGCATTGCCACAATGCTGTTCATGATTTCGAAGCATGAATGAAACAGATGATCTCAATCAGCTAATACCAGCATGGCTTCAGTGTTCTGTCTGAACGAAAGTCTCAGCAAATATCTTGAGTAGAAAGTCAAAACCAATACAATTGATGGCTAAAAGTTGTAACTCAAGAAGCATATGAAGAAGATGAAATATAGCTTCAGGCTTTCTAGAAGCTCATTCACAGCTGGGACATCCAAGAGTGCAACAAAGTTTTCTCATTTCTAGTGTTGTAGAGTAATATCATAAGTTTGGAACATTATATTCTGCTTCTAGTGTACTTTGCAGTGTTTGTGTCTGTGTGGCCAGGGACTGCAGATCAAAAGTACTGCAGTACTTGTGTGTGTGTTAGGACAGTTGTACACAGTAAGTGTCAGTTCTAACCTGGGTCCTAATTTCTCCTTTTCTCCCTGAAATATCTCTCATTTCTTTTTTGCTGAAGCAGAAATCATAAGCAGAATATTCGATAACAGTAACAGTGCTGTATACTGTAGGCGTAACTGAAAGATTGACACTTGAGCGTCATAGTTTAAAGTGAAGGGCGACTCACCGAGCTGCCGTATTTGACGAGTTGGGCGTGAGAATGCGTTGGTCTCACGGATGCTAATGTTCAGGTACTGCATGAAACAGTGGCATATACAATACATGTGATTGTGCTACTATATTAACACCTTCATATAGTCTCTAACCTTTAACCTCTGGAAATGTATGGAAATCAACGGTTTCCCCGGAAGGAGGAAAAAAATGCATTCAGTAAAGCAAGACGCATTCAAAGTTATACGATTTTATATGGTTAGCTCCCCTGTGAGGAAGTAAATGGATTAAAACATGCAAAATCAGTGGAATGTTTTTTTAAGTATCACTGCATTTAGATATTTCACTCCAGCAGTTGTGAAAGCACTCTGCTGCTTACCCTAACACAGTTGCTTACATGCAATATTCATAACTCAAAATCACAGGGTTTCAGCTTAAACACCATGTATACAAATTCATGTTTGAGTGTTTACCACTGGATGTGCAGTGCAATGAATCAATATAATTAAGTACTGTCAGAGGGATAAATGAGCAATTGTTGAAAAAATAAAATAGTTCCTTATTGACACCGTATCTGAATTTTATATACTTATAATTATTCATATTCATATTTATATATTTATATTTATATATATATTTATATATATATATATATATTATATATATATATATTTATTTATTTATATATATATTTAATATATATATAAATATATATATATATATATATATATACAGTATATTAAATATATATATATTTATATTTATATTCATATTTATATACTTATAATTGTTAATTGTTTATATATTATAATTATATTTATATGCAATATTGCAGCCGGAAAAGGGAGAAACTCAGCTAGACACAATAGAGCATTTTTAATATTCCCACAACTGTCTCTGGGAACAGGACATGTTTGGGGCACAGTCAATCTGTTTACAAGGTTTAATTGAGACTAATAAAATTATTTTGATGCCGGCCCTGCTGTGAAAAACAAGCAGGGTTTGCTAATAAACCCACCGGGTGGGTGCATTTGATGGTGAGTTCAGTTGTAGGATAAGTCGAAGAACGGTGTAGCAATTTGTCATTTCGGTTTGCAATGCACTCAGGTATGTACAAAACACTTAGCGGATGGAAGAAAAAAAATGACGAGTCTGCTAATGCAGATGGAAGGACGTAGACGTCCAGCTGGAGACAGGAATAATAACCTGTCACCATCTAGGTTCAATTTCAACTTTTTCCAGCACGCTGTAAGAATTGAAGCTCTCAGGGTCTCTGTTTTTGCATTCTCTACTGTTATGTTTCAAACCGCTCACTTTCTAGGTCTACCTTACACGAGGTTCACTTTGTGATTAATCAGTCACCTTCAGCACACACCTTTTCTATCAGATAAGTTGACAGAAGCAGCGTTACTCGGAAAAAGCTGAGTTATGGCGAGGAGGCAGCTATGAAACCGTTTGCTCAGTTAACTGATGTATGGCCATTTATTTAGCTTTGATACACAGTGCCCAACTACACAAGTGTCGACCAGCCAGGAGTTCATCACAGCCTTAACCATAAATTGTTTCCTCCTCTCTTCATTTCGCTTTACATCTTTTTCTTTTTCTCTTTCAGCCATTAAACGTCTCACTAAAGTTTTCATAGCTTTTGGTGCCTCGGAGCCGCTTTATATGAGGTCAGAGTGCCACAGACTCCTCAATAATACACGTGTTAC